ATTCAAAATTAATTTCAGAATAATTGTAGAATTGTAAAACACACACAAAAAGTGTACAAAATATATATATATTTTTTTTCTCCACAGGAAATTAACAAATGTTGCTATTAGTGGAGACCAAAAAATCCTGAATGTCCTTCCCAACACTACAGCCATTGGTATGTTTACATAATGGTCTTGGTACGTTTTGACCATCTCATCTCCTGTTTGAGGGGGGGGGGTGATTCTAACAGCAAACGAGAATTAGGCTTGAGTTATTTTTGTTTATTGTTAGCAAATTGGTTTATGTCGTTAATATTTGGCACTGTTTAGACACTGAAATTGTCGCACACACTTAAGTGGCATTTCAGAGAATGAAATATTTTAAAACACAGTAAACACAATGGAAGTATGAAATAAATGAAGTAAAATATCATATGAAGTAAAAACATATATGAAACCTATAAGAAATAGGAACAATTTCATATATTAACATATATATCTAGGCCATACAAATATATGTTTATGTATGTGCAATACCATTTTGGACATAAATGCCATGTACAAGTATATCCATTATATAAGTAAATATACAAATATATTTTTTCCTTTTTTTTGCAATAGGTCTAGGGATGGGTACAGAACCGGTATTTTTTTTGGACCTGTATGTAATTGGGTCAATACCGGACTACCGATAAGCTTCAGGACAAACGATACTGTTACCGATACATGCTTTGTTTTATCTCCCTGAATACTTCTGTGTTAATGGCATATTAGAAGCGGCTGCTTGTCATTTTCCTGTTGGTCAGTGCGTGCCAGGGCTAACAACGAGCCGGGTGGGGCCCAAAATCAAGCTGCGTTTCCACTATTAGATCATTGCTACAGTAAAACCTGCCCTTAAAGCCGCCTTTCCACTATCTCCGACAAACGACAAGTGATAGACTGGAAGTCATTAATTTCCAATGGAGAGTAGAGCGGGAGCTGCGTGGAGTTCCGATCATATGCATATGCAAATTTGCTGACTGGGTAACAATCTGTCCGTCACGGACTGCGTGACTTCGCCAATGTGGATTTTTATTTTCTTTTTTTCTGCAACTAGTACAATTTTGGTCGACCAAGCCTCT